CCCACCTTCACCCCAGAGAGCTCCAGTCCCCTTCAAGGCCCTTCCAGAAAGGTCTGGGGCCCCCAGGGAGTGTCCCCCAGCACCCCTCTTAGTACTCCCTTGCTGGGCCTCCAGCAGACAGGCCCGCCTCGCAGTGCCCCAGCCCTCCCAGATGCCTTTAAAACTAGAGTCAGCGTGGTATCACTTGTCGCATTAGGACTTGGCTGGGTTATGGTAGCTCGCCCACGGGAAAGAGCCCTGGCACTTAGAGCCAAGCTTTCAGAGCAGCCTGACCCAGAATCGAAGCCAGGCAAAGTCCTCACTCGCTCCGTGACGCTCGGCTGTTTGACATTTCGGAGCCAGGTGTTCTTTGTAAACAATAGTAGCTAGTCAGAGCCCCAGAGGTTTTTCTTTTGCCAAACACACAATGTACTAAGTGCTTATCAAATACAAACCTGTCTAATTCTCCAAACAAGCCTATGACGTCGGTGCTGTGATTATCCTCATCTTATAGATGGCATCTTATAGAGAGGTCAGGTAACAGGTTGAAGGTCACACAGCTAGTGGGATGGAACTAGCGGAAGCGGGATTCGAGCTCTGGTGCTCTGGCTACTGAACCCTTGTTCTTAAGCACCATCCTACCTAAGCGTTAACAGTCAAACAACTCTTTTTCATACTTCTGTTGAGATGAGAAATTTCAAACACACAAAAGCAATGAGAATCCCCTGTACTCGGCAATCAACAACACTTCACTGCTTCAAAGACATTGTTAATTTTATTAAATTGCAATAATACACTTTTGCATTCTTTTTGACCTAGCTTAAATCAACAGTCACGTTTCAGTAATTTCCTTTTGTTTCCTCAAACAATCATAAAATGAAGACATTGGGTTATTATGTTTATAAAGTACGTTTACAATGCCATTATTGTATATCTCTTATAGCTTATGAAGCACCTTTGCTTGATTACTTCATTGGATTTTTCAGCAACCTCTGAAGACGAGCAGTGAGATTGCTAGGATTCCACTCTTTAAAAATGGTCAGATGAAGCCCAGAGACCTTAAAGAATTTGCTCAAGTTCACACGGTTTGATTTTTTTAAAGTTTTCAGTTGACTGGTTCCCGGAACATCAATATATAGTGGAAAAAATAATGGCTCTGGAATTCAGCAGCATTCAATTAATACAATATATGATGTAAAATCAAAATAGTAATGTGTGGATAATGTGTGTGATCAAACATAGATGGATGTGGTCCATATAGGGGGGTGTGTGTGTCTGTGTGTCGTGACTAACCCACTGAACATACATTCCCTTTCCCCCTTCTAGATGGGATCACTCAGAAAAAAACCCCCCGATTACTCTGGTCGCTTTCAATCCTTCCAAATCTTGTCAGCACCAGGATGTTCTCCAGAGTCCTGGATTCTCCTGTTTTCCCCAAAAATCGTTGGCTTCTCCGGTTCTCAGGCGAGGTTGTCTCAATGTTATCAACGACATGCTTCCCCTTTTAGGAAGATCCAGGGAAAACCTCCATTATCTTATTTGAACTCTGTTTTCCTTCTGAGGGCCGTGTTGGAGATTTTATGATGCACTTTTTATAAGAAGAATCATCTGGGTGTGATCACTAAAAAAAAAAGAATGTGCCACCAAAATTGCTCCCCTCACTGCCACAAAGCCTTTTCTCAGTAAAATAAACACATCCGTGGCTCCATGTCCTGCTTCCGTGTTTACCAACAAAGTTTATTAAGAACCTCGTAGACAATTCATTTTAGTCCAAGTCTGTCGGACTTTTAGCCTTCCTGGTGGTTCACATGGCAAGAATCTCCCTGAGATGCAGAAGACCCAGTTTCAATCCCTGGGTCAGCAACATCCCCAGAGAAGGAAATGGCAACCCACTCCAGTCTTCTTGCCTGAGAAATCCCCAGAACAGAGGAGCCTGGAGGGCTATGGTCCCTGGGGTCGCAGAGAGTCAGACAGGACTGTCACTCACACTCACACAGGTCCGAGGAGACCTAGTTCTGGAGCTCGCACACGGATGATTCCACACTAGACCTAAACAGCGAAGGAGTTTGTCTCTTGCAGCTGGAAAAATCATCTGAGCCATGTTTCTGTCCTCATATGTTTGCATTTAAAGTTTCTATGGTTTCCGTGGAAACGACACAGTGACTTTTAAAGAAGAAATTCAAGAAAAGCAGTTCCTTTCACGTGTCCCATTACATGATGAAAGTCCCTGACTTCAGACCATAAGGCACAACGCCTAGAGCAGGGTTGGAACGTGGTACATTTTGTTGAATAATAAACGAATGAATGGAATCCTCTAAGCACCTGGTGAAGTATGAAGTGTTACATCCTCAAGACATTTGTTAGGACTCTTTTTCCACATGTGTGTGAAGTAATTTCAATTAGCAATAACAGGTTTTTCAAATAGTAATACCTTGGGAACCTGTTTTAATGAATAAAGAGTAATAACATTGGATGAAATGATTGATCATCTAAGGTTTTTGCTCAGTTGATAAGTCGTGTCTGACTCTTTGTGACCCCATGAACTGCAGCATGCCAGGCCTCCCTGTCCATCACCAACCCCCAGAGCCTGCTCAAACTCATATCCATCAAGTTGGTGATGCCATGCAACCATCTCATCCTCTGTCACCCCGTTCTCCTCCTGCCCTCAATCTTTCCCAGCATCAGGGTCCTTTCCAATGAGTCAGCTCTTCACATCAGGTGTCCAGAGTATTGGAGCTTCAGCTTCAGCATCAGTCCTTCCAATGAATATTCAGGGTTGATTTCCTTTAGGATGAACTGGTTGGATCTCCTCACAGTCCAAGAGACTCTCAAGAGTCTTCTCCAGCACCACAATTTAAAAGCATCAATTCTTTGCTGCTCAGCCTTTATACAAATAGGTATTTTTCAATAAAAGAAAAGATTTGCTGTTTTACTCTAAGTCTCTCTCTCATTCTTTTACCTTTTTTAAAACAGAAGATGAAGGTAACCTCAGCTTTTCTCCATCTACAAAACTGTAGCTGCTTTACACAGCTCCTGGTTCTCAATAAATGTTTATTCCATAAAAGAACTGTTTCACTGCTTGAACCTCCATGTATAGAGGGACACACCCTGACTTTGCTCCTCTCTGAAATACTTGGGTTCCTGACGGAAGGTTTCCTTTCCTCTCCAATGCTCTCTGCTTCTGATTCCACAGATAACCAGCATCAGCAACATAGCATCCAAATAGGTTGAACCCTGTGCAATTTACAGCATTTGATTGGCTCACAGAAGCACACATTTCAGAGAGATTAAAAGTCAATAGAATTATGGAATGTCTTAAAGTGTGATTTTAACATCTGTCTGTTACAAACTGATCAAGTGATCAAAAAATAACAACGATGTTGGATATTGGAACAGCGTGATTAAGACACTGTATGATATTCACAAATTCAGAAATTTATCTCAACTCTTTTAATCTGGGTTCTTAACCAGACTTTGAGGAATATTTCTAAAAGTTGAGCACTCACTAGGCCATAAAGGACATTTCAATAGGTACCAAAGAATTGGTAAAAACATATATACTATATTCTCTGACCACAGTATGATAAAATAACTCAATTTAAAAAATAGTCAAAGTACTCTTCTATATTTAGAAATTAAAAATGGTACCACATCTTGCGTGTATGGGCCAAAGAGGAAACCATGCTCGAAATCAGAAATAATGCCATGCTCAGCCTGGATGGGAGGGGAATTTGGGGGAGATACATGTGTGTGCGGCTGAGTCCTTCACTTCCACCTGAAACCATCACAACACTGTTTATCAGCTGTACCCCAGTACAAAATAACAAACTCAAATTAAAAAAAGAAATAATGTCAAGTTGCTTTGTCATGGCCTGATTTTTCCCATTTTATTCAGGATGGTTTACCATCTGATGACACCAGGAAAGTTAACAGAGCAGGCCTCAGGAACCAAAAAAAAGCCTGGTTTTTAGTGGGGAAAACTATCAAGTCTTAATGAAATGGCTTATTTTTTAATAGCTTATTCTTCTCACCCATCTGTTCATAGATTCTGTGTCTAGATTTTTATTCAGACAATAAAGAATCCACCTGCAATGCAGCAGACCCAGATTTGATCTCTGGGTCGGCAAGATCCCCTGAAGAAGGAAATGGCAACCCACTCCAGTATTCTTGCCTGGAGAATTTCACGGACAGAGGAGCCCAGCGGGCTACAATATGTGGGGTCACAGAGAGTCGGACAGGACTGAGCAACTGACGCTAACGCTGCCTGCACTTGACTCGCCAGGGCTCAAGTAAGAACAGCCGCTTCCAGCACATGGAAAAGTCAGTCCATTCCTGTGTGGCTCCAAGACTGTCTCCATCCAAGGCTCTTCTAGAAGAACCTGCAAACTGTGGACAGCGGAGGGACACCCCTGGGAATATGAGAGACAACCAGATGGCATCTCAAAATACCAGTACACTCCACCTACAACAGAGGTCCCGACCACAGCATCACATCGAGATGAACCTGCTGGGCAGTCCTGTTGAAATAGGCATCTCCAGTATGCACGGATGGGCTTCCCAGGCGGCTCAGTGGTAAAGAACCCGCCTGCCAAGGCAGGAGACTCAGGTTCGATCCCTGGTCTGGGAAGATCCCCTGGAGAAGGGCATGGACACCCACTCCAGGATTCTTGTCTGGAGAATCCCATGGACAGAGAAGCCAGGCGGGAGAAAGTCCGTGGGGTCGCAAAGAGCTGTATGTGACCTGAGCAGATCTGATCACATCTCTTTCCAGTTCCAAGTCAACAAAAACACAGGTATAAATCATCGTTCAGAATAGCCAATGCGTCCCAGTCAGAGCTACATGCACCAGAGCAGGGGATGTATTTTGCGTCCGGCTCATCCCTCAGTCCAAGTAAAACACCTCCCCACTGTCACATGCTTAAGTGCACAAAGGGGAAAAACCGTGCCGAGGTCAGCAGAGCTAAAATCTCTTCTTCAGGACTCCAGTCCCAAACAGCTTAGGAATTCCATTGGCAACATCATAATGTCAACATTCCAAGGAAGTCCAGAGCCCCCGGAATCAAGGACTAGGATGCCAGAGAAAGGATGGACCGCGATCCTCGTGAATCCTGGGATTTGGTGTAAGGGCAAAGGCTAAGAAGCCAGAAGTGAAGAGAGAAATCCCGTCCACACTGCTGAATCTGAGCACCATCCGAAGAATGTCCCGTTTCAGTAACTGGAAGGCCTGCCAGGTCAGCAGAAGCTTGATGCCATTTGACAACATCAGGTAATCATCCGTCCTTTTCTTCCTTTATGTTGCTGGAAACCCTTCCTTTATGTCACTCTGGGTATCGGTAGCAGGGCTGTCCTTAAGCAGAGGGTTAAAAAAGCTCCCAGCTGCAGCAGCAGTCCTTTCAGCTCAGTTCAGTCGCTCAGTCGTGTCCGACTCTTTGCGACCCCATGGACTGCAGCATGCCAGGCCTCCCTGTCCATCACCAACTCCCGGAGTCCACTCAAACTCATGTCCATTGAGTCAGTGATGCCATCCAACCATCTCATCCTCTGTCGTCCCCTTNTTAATATGCTATCTAGGTTGGTCATAACTTTCCTTCCAAGGAGTAAGTGTCTTTTAATTTCATGGCTGCAATCACCATCTGCAGGGATTTTGGAGCTCCCAAAAATAAAGTCAGTCACTCTTTCCACTGTTTCCCCATCTACTTGCCATGAGGTGTTGGGATCGGATGCCATGATCTTAGTTTTCTGAATGATGAGCTTTAAGCCAACTTTCTCACTCTCCTCTTTCACTTTCATCGAGAGCATCTTTAGTTCTTCTTCACTTTCTGCCGTGAGGCTGGTGTCCTTTAACAACATAAATAAGAAAAGCGTGTTGTTTTTGTTGTTTAAATTGGATGTCTTTGCGGTACGGTAGAGGGAATGTGAACATTTTTCTTTCCGTATTAATTTCTTTAAAAGTTATTAGAGTAAAAATAACTAGGTAAAAGTCCTTGTAGTAGGTGAAATGCATTCATCACGGTTTATCTGACTCAAGGCGGCTCCAAGGTCACCAGTGAAAAGTGAAAGTGAAGTCGCTCAGTTGGGTCTGACTCTTTGCAACCCTGTGGACTGTAGCCCGCTCGCTCCTCCGTCCATGGGCTTCTCCAGGCAAGAGTACTGGAGTGGGCTGCCATCTCCTTCTCCAGGGGATCTTCCCGTCCCAGGGATCGAACCTGAGTCTCCCGCGCTGCAGGCAGACGCTTTACCCTCTGAGCCACCAGGGGAGCCCCAAGGGTCCCAGGCCAAGGGTCCCTCCTAAAGAATCCCTCTTGTAAGGAAGGCTCCGAAAGGGCTTCGGAATTTACCCAGAGCACAGCGGTGTGGAGAAAATGAAGTCGTTCGCCACTAGCTTCTTGCTCTGGAGTTCCTGGTCCTCCTGATGGCCAAGAAAAATCAAAAGTGCCCATGAAGGGGACCTTCTGTTCTAGTTTGAAACATTTCACCTTGAGATGAGCTCAGCTTCCTTCGGGTCAATGAAGAGTCAGCTCGAAGGCTGTTTCTTCCTCCGTCGAGGGGTCACTTCAGCCGCCCCTTCCCAACCAGGCGGGCACACGGCCGGCCGGGGTCCTCCGCTGCGGGCCGCGGTCTCTCGGCGCCTGGGCGGGGGCTCGCTCAGGTGCAGCCGCTCTCACGTCCTCGTGGCGCCCTGCGAGCCTCTGCCGAAGCCCGAGTCCCCGCGGCCCTCAGATCACCAGGTCCCCGTGCAGGGCGGGCCCCTGGCCACAGGGCTGGGCCGGGACCGAGCGCCCAACACCCCGGCGCAGGCGCAGGGGGCCCGGGGGTGGACCGCGGTGCGCAGACTCCCGAGAGTCTGACGCCCCATCACCCCGCCCCGGTTTGGTTAAGTCCGGGGGAGACGCCTGGCGAGGAGGCGGTGTCTTCTCGGGGACACGCCCCCAGGGGAGGTGGTCTCCACTTCCTCTTCTGATTGGGGTGGGCACCTCCCCGAAGCCGTTTCCTCCACCTCGTCTGCACTACGGCTTTTTTTAAACTTGGTTTTCATTGGAATATAGTTGCTTCACAATCCTACGCTGGTTTTTACTGGACAGCAGCGTGAATCAGCCCTAAGTGTACACACATCCCCGCCCTCCCGACCCTTCCTGATCTCCTCCGGCTCTTTATACGTTAAAGGAAACCCTTACGCCTTTAGAAAAGCCCTTCTCTCTTCACAAAACCTGGCTTCTACCTTGCTGTGAGTTCTTTGCCAACGGGAGATGAGGACTTTAAACTTGACTTCACTCTCTCTGCTTTCTGCTTCAACAGCCCTAGTTGTCCCCAGTTCAGTAGAAGCTACATCTGCTGATGACTTACTGGATGTAGGCTAAATCAAAGCGGCTTTACAAAGTTATGGGAGCCAGGCAGGGAACAGGAAGGAACAACACATAGCCAAGGCTGGTGACCATGTAAGCATCACCACCTAGAGATTTGAGACCCGATCGTCTGAAGCGGGGTTACCAAACCCAGACACAAAGTGTGGAAAGAGAGCAGCTGACCTTCAGTTCAGCTCCCCAGGTGGGTCAGCGGTAAAGAACTCGCCTGTCAATGCAGGGGACACAGGCAGTGCAATAAACGGGGGCTTGATCCCCAGGTCAGGAAGATCCCCTGGAGGAGGGCCCAGCAACCCACTCCAGTCTCCTTGCCTGGAGCATCCCACGGACAGAGGAGCCTGGCGGGCTATGGCCCACATCATCGCAAAGAGTCAGATGTGACTGAAGCGACTTCACGCACGCATGCAAGCTTCTGCTGAGATGTCAGGAGGCTCGAGACAGCCTCCCAGGGAGGAGCCAGCCCAAGGAGTAAGAACCGCCATCACTTTCCTCCCTTCTTCTCATCCCCCACTGAGCATCCCATCCGCCTAAACGAACCGGACGCCAGAGGCAAGGGCTCCCCTGATAGAATCCAACCGGCAGCTACGGTGGAAGGATGGACAGTGGACAGGCTGGATGAGATCCAGTCTAAAAGCTTTTCCTGAAACAGCATGGGGAAGGGATCAAGTACAAGTTGATGAAGGAGAAAATCCCATCTGTATTTTTCAGAGATATGATCTCCCCATAACATATGCCTGTCATATCCATAGTTCGTTTCTACCAGTGTCTGAGTGGCTGCTTCATCCATCTAAGTATGGATTTCAACCAGATGCCCACTGATCTGTGAAGTGTTCTGGTGAGGATAACTGTAGCTGGCCCCAAGGGCTTTCCACATGCCAAGCACTGTGGGAAAACTTGTTATTTCCTCTTCGAAAGAAACTTCAGGGGTAAGACTTATTATTAGCATCTCCTTTTTACAGATGGGGAAACCGAAACTAAAAGAATTAGAGAATTCATCCAAGGTCCTACGAGCTGGTCCACAGCCCATATGAGATAAAAGGCCAGGCTCTCCAAGATGGATGGGCTTCCCAGGGCTCAGTGGTAAAGAATCCGCCTATAACACGGGAGACACGGATTCTCTCCCTGGACCGGGAAGATCCCTGGAGAAGGAAATGGCAGCCCACTCCAGTGTTCTTGGCTGGAGAATCCCATGGACAGAGGAGCCTGGTGGGCTACAGTCCACAGGGTCGCAAAGAGTCAGACGTGACTGAGCAACTAAACAAGAAGAACTCCAAGACAGGCAGGGAGCTGGGCAGGCACGGGACCTTGGCATCAGCTTCTAGATCATAGCGCTGGTCGCCAGCTGGAGCCAGATGGTTTTTCAAGAGAAGCTTGTAATCCACGTTGCATAGGAAAGTTCCCATTTCTTGTGCAATTTACATTTTTTGTTCAAAGTGATTTAAAGTATACAGTCAGGAGATCCAGTCTGCAAACCTCTGCTCAATTGTAACAGAGAAAATCCAAAAAAAAAAAAAAAAAGAAAAGAAAATCCACCCCAGGACCCCCACAACACACACACAACTGCAGTGCTTGTCAACAGCCTTTCAAGAGCTGCAAACCAGGAATGTTTGTTTCCTGTCCAATAGACAACCATTGCGTTTGTAAGTTTGATAATAAAAATGTGATAGACAATTTGTGGTGACTAGTATGAACTGTCTCATGCTAAGAACTTTATATGTGTCATTGCTTTTTGTCTTCACAACTACTCTGCAGTTTACATTTATCTCATTACTCACGTCTTCCAGACAAAAACAGAGTTCAACGATATTTTCAGAAATACTGTATGATATCACTTATATGTGGAATCTAAAAAGTACAACAGACTAGTGAGCGTAACAAAAAAAAAGCAGACTTGCAGATGTAGAGAGCAAGCTAGTGGTTCCCAGTCGGTAGAGGCGGGGAGAGGTGAGACAGGGGTGGGGAACTAAGGGGTACAAACCATTAGATATAAATAAGCTACAAGGAAAAAAGTAATAAAAGAAGATACAAGGATATACTGTCCAACAAGGAAAATATAGCCAATATTTTGCAAAACTGTAAATGGAGTATATCCCTTAAAATTGTGAAGGACTGCATAGTACTCCTGCAGTTTGCACAATATTGTGCAACACTTACGGGGTTCCCAGGTGACTCAGAGGTAAAGAACCTGCCTGCCAATGCAGGAGACGTGAATTCGATCCATGGGTCAGGAAGATCCCCTGGAGAATGAAATGTCACTCTTACACTTGAAAACAAAAATGCTTATCACAGTCCTCAAGTCTTAAACTAGATGACCGTAGAGCTTAGGACTTGATTGAAGCTCTCTGACTCCCAAAATTAAGCTTTTTCTACCAGAAGTAGAGGACTTTCCCCTGCATGGCTCTGAGATTCTAGGCACACACTCCAGAAATCTGCTGGGACAAGTGTTTCTTCCAAGTGGGTCACCAGTGATAACCGCAAGTGAATGCATTTTGCAGTGCAGGCTGCTCACCAATCGTTCAAACATCACACTCCCTAAAAGCACCACGGACACCTTTAGAACCAAACAGAAAGTGAGATAAGCAGGGTAGAGCATGGAACAGCCTGTTCTCAGACGCCAGCAGGCTGGTGGAAAAACAAACAGAATCTGCTGAAAATTAATAGGAAGGCAGAGACCTATTGAAGAAATGTTAAGAGGAGCCTCTGTGCTTTTTTTCAACCCCTGATGTAGAGAGAAAATGTCATTTTTAAAGAGTAGCTTTAAAAAATGGGTTCCACTTGCTGAAACTGAAAGGATGACATTAAATAAGTAGCTTGGATCATCCCCACTAGGCTTTCCTGTGGCTCAGATGTAAAGAATCCGCCTGCAACACAGGAGACACTGGTTCAGTCCCTGCGTTGGGAAGATCCCCTGGAGGAGGAAATGGCTCCCCACTCCAGGATTCTTGCCTGGGAAATCCCATGGACAGAGGAGCCTGGTGGGCTACAGTCCATAGAGTCGCAAAGAGTCAGACACGACTGAGCGACTAGTTTCCCTCTGAATGGCTTGTTCTCAACCAGTGTGTTTTTCGGGAGGCACACTGCGGCACGCAGGATCTTAGCTCCCCAACCAGGGGTCGAACCTGAGCCCTCTGGAGTGGAAATACAGAGTCCTCACCGCTGGAGTGCCAGAGAAGGGCTTGAGTGTCTCGCTTTTATCATTCAGGCCTCAGACCCAAATTCTCTTGCCCGAAGGAGTAGACCACTCAATTCAGAAGGGTGCTGTTCAGTCGCTCGGTCGTGCCCTTTGCGAGCCCGTGGACGGCAGCACGCCAGGCCTCCCTGTCCCTCACCACCTCCTGGAACTTGGCCGAGTTTGTGTCCATCGAGTTGGCGATGCCGTCCAGCCATCTCACCCTCTGCCGCCCTCTTTTCCTTTGGCCTTCAGTTTCCCCAGCAATTCCGAAGGGGACCCTCACCATGACTTTCTCTCTCCCTCATTTATTTCCCTTCCAGCACTTTCCACGAAGGACAACTGCTCTCTCTAGCTATTCACTCACCGACTCTCTTGTCCGCCAACACCCTAACACCCAACACAGCATCTACAACATCCCAAGGAACAGAAAACAAGTGTTGGATAAACAGCCCCAGGCCCCGGCCTGCAGCCCCAACAAAGCATACCCCAGACTCACAGCGGAGGAAGCCGTGTCACCGCCGCGTGTGTGAAAGCAAACAGCCAGTTCCACTCATAAAAATATACTTTCAGTTAAGATCACAGGAGATAGTTTCTAACTGATTATGCTGAGCTGAGAAGTGAGATGCAAAGATAATAAACACATTTAATTGAAAACAGATGGAAAGCAGTCCACTCCCCCTTGGGTGACTTGACGGAGGGCCCTTAGACTACTCTTCTCGCCAGCATTTTATGAGCATAATTTTACATGCCAGAACACACGTTCTCATGAGGGGACATCTCTGCCCCCCCAGCAGTCACTCGACGGTCAATCCATCTTGACAAGGAGTCCTGAGGGTCCATGCTCATTTGCATTTCTGCCCAGGTCTGGTTACTGGTACTGCCCGGCTCCGACTTCATAAATAAGAATCTGTAACAGAGGGACACGGTCTAAGATCCTTGAATAGGGCACCAGAGACACTATAATAGCATCTTTATTGAGTGTCGATTTCCTTCTTGTGCCAAAACACGCCTCCGGGTGATAGGTTCAAAGGATACAACTTAATAGCAAAGCTGGAGGGTTTTGATGATCAGACACGGAGCAGATGTCCCTTGAGTACAAGAATGTTGTTTTTCTAAACAACTACCCGGCAACTCACAACGGTGCAGCACACACAATGCTGAAGCTGCCTCTTTGCGGAGGAGCAGCAGAGAAGCCCCTTCAGAAACCAAGGTTAAACTCATCAAAGAAAAGCCACACACTTTTCCACGGTACGGAGAAAATTCCAGTTGCCCGTCCAACCTCAGGGAGGACAGTTTGGTGGCTGGTGGGAACCCAGGGCTCCCAGAGGGACACAGTGTTGCTAAATCTTCACATTCTCTTCTGATTGTCACGTCCAGGACGCTGGGTTTCAGATGCTACTTCTCTGGCTTTCAGGGAAGAACTTAAGCTCGCCAGAGACGTTACCCCTTAGTGCTTCTTCAGATGGGCTGGCCGCAAAAATGAAACGCAAAGCCATGTCCTGTTTTCTGAGCCGTTAGTGAAGCTGGACACTCTTGACGAATCTCAGATGCAACTTTCGTTGGTACAAGCAGCACCCGGACTCTCTGCTCCTGGCTGACTCTGGGTGTCACTGTGGCTCCGGGAGGTATTAATCATGCCTCCAACTCTCTCTCCCACATAGTTCATGTTTTTAATCTACTGTCGTTTATTCTCCTCAACCTTTACCCTATATTTTGCCCTGTGCCCATCCATCATCCATCCATCCATCCATCCATCCACGCACTCACCCACCCATCCACCCACTCACCCACCCATCCACCCACTCACCCACCCATCCACCCATCTGTCCATCCGTCCATCCATTCACCTGTCCCTCCATCCATATGAACTGAGCGTCTGTCTCTCGCCAGATGCAGTGCTACATGCTGGGGATGCACTGGTGAACAAGAGAGAGTCTAAGACCTCATGGAACATCATACCTAATAGTGGAGACAGGCACGAAGATGGCCCATTTATCGCACTTGCGGTCATTACTAGAATGCAGATGCTTGCAAGGGGCTGGGACCAGAGGGAGGGCAGGTCTACACGGATGGGCGGGAGGCGGGAGGTGTCATGGACCCCCTCATGGAGGACGTGACAAGGAGGAGTCCCCAGGAGGATGGGAGCACAAACGAGGAAAGGGGGAAAGTGTGACGTTCGAGGCAGAGTGAGAAACACAACCCGAGGCGCAGAGACCCGCAGCCCCGGGATGCTCAGCGCCAGGGTGGGGAGGGGCGGGGAGGAAGTGGGCAGGGCCGAGTTCCCATAAAAATGAAATACTAGCTCTTAAAAGTGTTCTGACTTATAAGAACTTTTCTTTCATTCATATACATGAATGTGTATAGTACGTATGTGTACACACGCACGCACACACACACACACCTGCTCTCCGAGCACCCTGCTACTTGGGGACAGGACACGCCCACTCATCTCTCCCTCTACTATACGCAAGGATAAGGGAGTGCATCCATCCATTTTCTCTCCAGTTTGCATTCTTTTTCCTGAAGTTAGGCTTTGCATTCATCACCTTCCTCTTAAGCCCACAGGCCGGGCCCCACGTTCAGGGGCAGTTGACGCCCTCAGAGTGTCGGCGCTGACGGGGGTTTTGTGTTTAGAGCGCCCCGTGAGAGGAGGAAGGAGAAGAAGAAGGAAGCCCTGTTTGAAGAGCAGCCCCGGCCCCTCGGTCAGAGGCTGCCGAAGGGGGAAGGGGCCCAGATCGCGGGCGACAAGACCAGGGACGCGGGAGCTGACAAGGCTGCGGAGGATGGCACTCCTCTCGGCAAGAGAGACTCCCGGAAGGACGCCAGGGGTAAGGCCAGCCATCCGGGGGCATCTGCAGGGGTAAGACCAGCCGTCCTGGGGAACATGTTGGGGTAAGGCCGGCCGTCCTGGGGCATCTGCGGGGGTAAGGCTAGCCATCCTGGGGCATCTGCGGGGGTAAGGCCAGCCGTCCTGGGGCATCTGCGGGGGTAAGGCCAGCTGTCCAGGGGAACCTGCTGGGGTAAGGCCAGCTGTCCAGGGGAACCTGCTGGGGTAAGGCCAGCTGTCCTGGGGCATCTGTGGGGGAAAGGCCAGCCATCCTGGGGCATCTGCAGGCTTTCTTCCATTTCAGGAACTGGGGCTCGGGTGTGAGGGTGGAGCTGATGTGATGGGACCCAGGGAATGGAGGTGGGGGGGTTGAGGTTATAAAGTGCAAGTCTGCAGAGTGACAGTGCTCAGGACATAGCATCCAACCCCAAGGCTCTCACTTCTGCCTTTAGGTCAAACCGGGGTTGGGCAAAAGCGGACGGCTCCCAGGGACACCGACGGCCAGGCAGGGCAGGAGGCTCAGTGGCCAGACCGCAGGTGCCACACCCGCAGGGAGAGAGTCTGCTGCTGGCCAAGGACACACGAGCCCTTCCCGACACGCTGCCTTCACATCTGGGAGCTGGGCTCTTCCCGCAAAGCAGGGACCGAGCCGGGCACACCCCATTCAGGCAGGAAGAGCTCGGCTGCCAACGAGGCATCCTTCGAGACTGGAGGGCAGGGATGTCCCTGGTGGTCCAGCGGAGAGGCAACCACATTGCAACGTGAGGGACTCAGGTTCCACTTGCCGTGGGGCTGCCAAGCCCGCCCACCGCGGGGAAGATGCCCCAGGATGCAATGGAGAGCCGACACAGCCAAACATTTAAAAACAGAAGAATGGGGATGCGTCCCCTCGTGCCAGCGGCAGACACCAGAGCGGGGCTGCAGCCAGGAGCTGGAGCTCAGAAGAGAGAGGAAGACAGGCAAGTCCTCTTCGCATTTCCGCCTCCTGCTGTAGCCGGAGAAGCCGCACCTTCTGCAGAATCGCACACGGGATGGTTCTGCTTGGTGTGCCTCCAGGATGCAGGAGAGAAAAGCGGGGGGTGTTTTTAAGGTGAAAAGTTATCTCCAAGCCTCACTTACTAACTGGATGGTGCAATCCTTTCTGATCATTAACTCAGAGCTCTCACTTATTCCGAGTCCCAAACAGAGTGACAAATTCCAGCTGCCAGAGCCAGGGTTACATAAATCCTCCTGACTGCCTCCTGATCCCGCTCACACAGAATCAGGAAGGGGTCTTAGGGATGCAGACCCGGCTCACGTTTTGCAAATCGGTTTCTAGTCCCTAAAAGTCTTCTTGGTGTCAGCCACGTGGAAGCCAGTGAAAACTGTGAAGATGTGAACAGGTAAAACTGAGCTTAGAAAGCTTTTGCAAGCTTTGCCAAGTCTGGTCCTGCTCCCCAGCACTGAAACCAGTCCTTAAGAAGCTCTGTGGGGGAACTTCCCTGTGGCCCAGTGGCTAAGACTCCTTGCTCCCAGTGCAGGGGGCCCGGGTTCAATCCCTGGACAGGGAACTAAGATCCCACATGCCACAACTAGGACCTGGAGCCACCAAATAAATAAATAAAAACAAACATTTAAGAAAAAAAGGAAGACTTGTGGGAAAGGGAAAGAGGAGAGATACAGCAAAAGTAGGAGAGAGGAGACAACTTATCTTAGGCTAGCAACAACTTTGAAGCAAAGCAAGTGCAAACTCTTCGTCGCCAACGGAATTCAGAATGAGTGTCAACTTCAAAGGCGCAGGAGACAGACATCTGGCTCCTCTTGTCTCCCAGCTCAGAGGCCTTCTGAGTCTGCACATGAGCCCACAGCGTCCAGACCCCTGCACGCGGCCGTGTTGATTCTCCCCTAGGCTTCCGACGTTTTCTTTCACATTCCCCTCCAGCTCTGCTCAGAGATCAAAGGCCTGGCGTCGTGCACCAACCATGCGCACAGCCAGCTAAGTGACAGGCACTTTGGGAGCGTGTAGGGTACAAAAGTGGGCTCATTCTGTCATTCGCTGACTATGTGGTGAGCACCCACTCTGCTCCAGACAGTTTCAGGTGCTGAAAACACCTCAGTGAATACAAACCAGAGGAGATCATCCACAACACAAACGCAGAAATCACTCAGATGAGAGACGAGGGTAGCATGGACCTGAGTGGAAGCAGCATCAGAAAGGTCCCGCTCTGAAACAGGTGGTGCTCAGGGAAGGAGTTCAAACGGAAGCCCATACATGCTGGGCTTCCCAGGCCCCTCCGAGGGTAAAGAATCTGCCTGCAGTGCAGGAGACCTGGGTTCGATCCCTGGGTCAGGAAGATCCCCTGGAGAAGGGAAGGGCACCCACTTTAGTATTCTTGCCTGGAGAATCCCGTGGACCAAGGAGCCTGGTGGGCCACAATCCACTGGGTCATGACGAGCTGGACAGGATGAGTGACTAACACTTTCACACGTTAAATATTACTGTATGTGCCTAGGTGCTCTGTTGATAGACTGACTTTATATGCATGATTAATGACATAAAATATATAATTTATACTTTATCATTAAAAACAGCTTCCTAGGTGGTTCAGGGGTAAAGACTCCACCTGCCAATGCAGGAGATGCAGGAAACGTGAGTTCAGTCTCTGGGTCAGGAAGATCCCTGGAGGAGGAAATGGCAACATATTCCAATATTCTTGCTGGGAAAATCTCACGGACAGAGGGGCCTGGGGGGCTACAGTCCACGGGGCCACAAAGAGGTGGACACGACTGGTCAACTGAGCATATAATTAAAATAACACACTAATGCAGAGAATGCAGTTATGGACCATATTCTATTCTCCAAATCTTCTCCAGCCTCCCGGAGCAGTGTGGGCAGAGGGAGAATTTGAATGCCACTTTCTTCTGCATATGGTCCCATCTGGGCTGAATCAATAACCCCAGGAGGTCGGGGCTTGGTCCCTAAGTGGGTGGTGGAAGCTACGGAAGCCGTCGTGGGAGCCTGCAGTTCAGGCTCTGCCGTGTGAGCCCAACTGTTTCTTACTATCCTCCCACTTGAAAGTGATTAGGACTTTCTTCCATTTGGGGTTTTTTTACCCACTTCTGTCCCTGAAAGGCTCCGGAAATTACACAGCAAGTTTTCCGACAGATGCTCCTACAAGCAGCCGACAGTCCCTCACAGCTGCCCAGCTGCCCTCCCCACATGTCGCAAGCCTGACGTGGCACAGAGGAAGGGAGACTGAAGCCCACGGCCCTGCCACCTCCGGAATGCCCAGCTCCAAAGCCAGCTTGCCTTTCACAGCCTGGGGAGGCGCCCCTAAACCACCAGGGGTTCTGCCAGGCAAGAGATCCCGGCAGGAAATACCCAGGCATGTAAGATGTCAAGTCGGAGTGGTGGGGAGGGGGAGACTTGGAGTGGGTTTCCATTCCTTTCTCCAGGGGATCTTCCCCACCCAGGGATCAAACTCGGGTCTCCTGCATTGCAGGCAGATTCTTTATCATCTGAGCCACCAGGATGGGACCAGAGTAGATGATATAGAGGAGAGTGGCGTTCAAATTCTCCCTCTGCCCACACTGCTCTAAGAGGCTGGAGACAAGTTGGAGAACAGGACGTGGTCCATAAATGCATTCTCTGCAGTGGTGTTTTTTTTTTAACCAAACCTCACCCAAACCTGCCTCCCTGCAGCTTCCTTTGTTGGTTCTAGTTTCGTCCACAGGGTCTGGTCAGATGAGCTTGACCCCTGTTCTTCATGGCAGCCTTCAGATATTTGAGAGTGACTGCATGTCCCCCACCAGATTCATTCATCTTCCATCTAACCATTCCCACTCCTTTCAGTCACGCCCCAAAGAACAAAGAGCGTTTTAGGGTTTCCACACTATCATCACCACTCTCCTCTGAAGGAGCCACAGTGGGTCCAGGTGCCCTTAAGCTGAATTCAAGGATTCACCTGTGATGAGACCAAGAAGAGAAAACTGGGTCCATTCCCTTCTTGTTCCAGATTCTATGTCTACTGATGCAGGCAGTGGCCTTGCAGACAGGTTCTCAGTCATTCAGTCATGTCTGACTCTTTGCAACACATGAACTGTAGCTGCCAGGCTCCTCTGTCCTTGGGACTTTCCAGGCAAGAATCCTGGAGTGGGTAGCCATTTTCTTCTTCAATCCATTCACACAGTTCAGTTCAGTTCAGTCACTCAGTCATGTCTGACTCTTCGTGACCACATGGACGGCAGCATGCCAGGCCTCCATGTCCATCACCAACTCCCGGAGCTTGCTCAAACTCATGTCCATTGAGTCGGTGATGCCATCCAACCATC